AGTGACAGCTTGGTAAAGGACTTGTCACATTTCCTACATTTGTAAGGTTGTTCCTCAATGTGAACACTTTGATGGTTTCCTAAATTGTGAGTTCCAGGTAAAGGATTTGTCACATTTAACACATTTGTAAGGTTTCTCCCCAGTATGAACCCTCTGATGTGTTCTAAGATGTGTTTCCGAGTAAAGGGGACTTATTACATTCCATGCATTTGTAAGGTCTCTCTCCAGTATGAACTCTCTCATGTCTTGTAAGATCTGAGCAACAGGTAAAGGATTTGCCACTATATCTTACAACTGTAAAGTCTCTTTCTAGTATGAACTCTCTGATGTGTTCTAACTTTTGAGTTCCAGATCAAGGACTTGTCACTTTCTATAGATTTGAAAGATTTCCCCAGGGTGAATTTTGCTGATGTCTTCGGTTGTGAATTCCAGGTAAAGGACTTGTCACATTCCATACATTTGTAAGGTTTCTCTCCGAGTATCGGAAGCCTCTGATGTGTTCTAAGATGTGTGTCCCCGGGTAAAGGACTTATGCACATTCCATGCATTTGTAAGGTCTCTCCCCGGTATGAATTCTCTCATGTCTTTTAAGATCTGAGCAACTGGTAAAGGATTTGTCACAATCCTGACAACTGTAAGGTCTCTCGCTAGTATTAACTCTCTGATGTGTTCTAAGTTGTGAGTCTTGGGTAAAGGACTTGTCCGTGCCACAGATTTGTGAGAGTTCTCCTCAGTATGAACACTCCGATGTCTTTGTTGTGAGTTCCAGGTAAAGCACCTGTCCGCATTCCATACATTTGTAAGGTTTTCTCCCCAGTATGAACCCTCTGATGTGTTCTAAGATGTGTCCCGGTAAAGGACTTATCATCATTCCATGCATTTGTAAGGTCTCTCTCCGGTATGAATTCTCTCATGTCTTCTAAGATCTGAGCAACTGGTAAGGATTTGTCACATTCCTGACAACTGTAATATATCTCTCTCCAGTATGAACTCTCTGATGGTTTCTAGTTGTGAGTCATGTGTAAAGGACTTGTCACATTCCATACATTTGTAAGCATTTTCATCAGTGTGAGCACTCTGATGGTTTCTAAGTTGTGAGTGCCAGGTAAAGGATTTGTCACAGTGCAAACATTTGTAAGGTTTCTCTCCAGTATGAACCCTCTGATGTGTTCTAAGATGTATTTCCTGGGTAAAGGACTTGCCACATTCTAAGCATCTGTAAGGTCTCTGTCCAGTATAAATTCTCTCATGTCTTCTAAGATCTGAGCAACAGGTAAAGGATTTGCCACATTCCTGAGAACTGCAAGGCTTCTTTCTAGTATGAACTTTCTGATGTGCTTTGGTTGTAAGCTCTGGGTAAAAAGACTTGTTACATTCCATACATTTGTAATGTTTCTCCCCAGTATGAACACTTTGATGACTGTGGACTTGAACACTGGTTAAAGGATTTTTCACAAGCATTGAGTCCGGAGGGTTCAGTGTCCAGCATGAATTCTCCATGTTCAATGAGGCATGAGGCAGTCCTGAAACATTTCCCCGCATATCCCACACTCGTATGGTTTCTCTCCGATACTGATTGGTTGTTGCAAAAGCCTGTATGCAGAGCTGAAAGAGTCACCATGTTCTCCCTGCCTGTGATCTTTTTCTTTGCAGTGTTGACTCTCTGATCTTCAGTAATGTTGGAACACAAATTTAAAGATTCCTCACGGTCTTTAGATTGGCAAGGTTCTTCTCCAGTGTGCATGCTTTCATGTCTACCTGGGTTTGATGAGTCAACAGAGGCAACCCTGTGGTTACTGCATGTGTAGTTGTCCGTAGTTTCACTTGTTCTATAAAGTGCACACGTGGAGGGGCCATGAAGCACTTTGCTAAGCACATTACACGACAACACTCCTTTTTCAGCCTTCCCATGGTGATGGACAGAATCACATTTGCAATACTTCTCTGAAAAGGAGTATAGTTCAGATTAAGAGGGCTTGTTCCAACATTGAACATATGATAAATGACTGTCTCCCATAAGTTGTCATTTAACGTAAGTGAACCTGGAACTCCAGATTAGAGCTCACAGTAATGAATATCTTTCAATCATTGTAATTGTATGGATTCTCACAAACACAGCATGACAGCCTTCAAAAAGGTCAGTGAGTTATAACAGGTATCTTTCTCAAAAACCTCTAACTGGAAGGAGATGGAAAAAATAATTGATTGCCAAGAATTAGCTTTGAGAGAGAACTTTTTTTGGGAAGCCTCCATCTCAAAGCCCTACCCCCACCTGCTGTCTAGCCTCTAGCCTGGACCCTAAGAGAGCACCGAGGCTGGAATTTGAATGCTCTCCTTATTTTGGCACCTGAAATACAGGGAATCAGGAAGGTAAATTCAGACCAGTCCTTGAGGGACTGTCTCCCAGAAGACTGGCACTGGAGGTCTCAGTAATTGTAGGCTACAGCACTATCTCACCAGGAAGGTTGCTACAAAACTGGAAGTCCCAGAACTTTGGTGGTGAGTAAAAGAAAAATTTCCCTTAATCCGCCCCACCAAGGCACCTCAAAATGTTTCTTCTGGAAGTGTCCCAGAGACACTTCCTAACTGGCTGCTTCTAAAAGAGCCCTCACCAATGAAACACTATTGGTTCCAAGGACTTAAATGTTTTGTTAAGGATAACTAACTTCCTCCCCCTCCACCCTCTCTAAGTGCTCTCTTTATACAGTCTTCCTTCTTACTAGGGGTCAAACAAAAAATCTACACTGCAACAGTCTATTATTAAGAATAATGGCTCTCTCTTCAAGGGACAGAGCTGCTACTTCACTCATGGTCTAACAAAGAAACAACAATACTTCGGCGATCCTAATTGGTGTGTACCTGTTATGGGCTTTACCCAATCATTCAACAAGATTGCTGAAAACGTAAACAAGGGTCAAATGTTTGCCCTGCATTACTATTTCAGATCCCTGCCTGCTCTGAATGGGAGCTAAAGGATTAAATTCTGCCTTTAAATCTCTGACCTGTCTGGAAGTTCAGATCCTTGGAGCCTCTTGCTGTTATTCATTTAAAAAACTGAGCAAGTTTCACTAACAAGGTGTTAGCATAAGGCTGTGCTGCTTCAAGAGACTATTTCAGCTGCTTGACTCTTACAACTTTTCCTCCTATTGTTACACTGCATATCTGCCTTCCTCTCTAAATGGATGAAGCTATCTGGCTACTGGGTTTCTTTACAAAATATGAGGCCACATATAGGAACTTCCAGTTACCCCACCAGAATCCAGTTCATGGAGACAGGATGCCTCTCCAGTCTCAGGGTATGCAAAATTCTACAGGGTTTCTAGGTTCACTTGCAGACAACTACTGGGCTCAAATTCCATAAAAGCCCACTCTCTTTACATCTCTGTTCTCTAAGAGTTTAATTATTTGCACTCTTCTGAGCCCTTCTGTTCTGGGTGGCCAGCACCTAAAACATCCCAGGGCTGCTACTTGCTTTTTGTCTAAGTCTGAACTCTACAGATTCCACCTTTAACTCTAAAATTTTAATCTCTTATCCTAACACTATGAACCTATTTCTTAAGCTGTCTGTTTGCCTTCTTATTAAATATCTGAGTTTACCTGTCCTCTCTATCATCCTGTTATATCCGTAACAATTTAAAATACACTTCTCCTTTATCCATAAAGCAGCTGCTTTGGTCTTTTTAATCGCCTCATTGTTTATGATACATTATAAAAGATTCATAATTACCAATGTCCTTATATTTTTATATTTCTGATTAAGAGTATCCTCACTTCTGGTTAAGTCTCCTTATGTATATTGTATTTTTGTTTAAGAACTTTGTTTCCACATTAAGATAACATCATTATTTTTTAGGCTAAATTTAACAGAGATAAAACATAAAGTTTCAGGTTTATATAAGGTAACTAATGCAAAATTGTTAACAATACCTTCACTTAAATCATAAACTATTAAAGATAACTATGAAATATAGCCTAATGATTAATTATCTGAATAACATTTGAAAATTTCTATAAAATGTAATATGTGTGATATAAATGTATAATTTATATAAAGATAAACTGTTAAAAATAAATTTACTTCCAACTATAAATATATAACTTATTAATTAAAATTTTACTTAATCTATATGCTACTAACAATTTAAAAATATAGATTACTGACTAATCACATAGTATTCAGATATATCCAATTAATATTTGAATATATTCTTATATATGTACTAAAAACTATATTTATAAAGATGTTGTTGTAGATATAAATAATTCTCTACTTAAGCCCCTTGCCATTTAAGATGTTTAAACTTCTCATGATAAACAGAACTATGCTTTGTTCTAGTTTCTGCCAGGCTTCTATTTTAGTTATATATACTTTGAGTCAATTGCCTTCCTTTATCTGTTAAAGGACAGGGTCAATTCTCGAGAAGTCCTGTCCAAAGACAATCTCAAAATCTAAATTTAATATCTGTAATCACTGCCCCCTATGAAGGTATGGCTAGATATACTGTTTAGCCAAAAAGCAAAGTATTTTATATTCCCTTTGAACATTTGAACATTTTTTTAAATGTAAAACTTAAAAATTCTTCTGATTTTAATGAAGATATCTCTTTAATTTATATACATAGAGCCTTCTAAACAGGAAAGGAAATATTACTGCTTTTAACCAAAATTATTTCTAGGTTTTCAAACTTCTATTATGACTCGAAAAAAAAAAAAATGAGTCTCCCTGCCTCTTTTATAACATGGATTTCAATACAGATTACAAATAGTAATAAGCTGATATATATATATATATGAGAGCATTGAGGCTGGAACCAAAATGAAAGGTGGATGAAAACTTTGAAATGTAAAATGGTCTTTCCTACTACTAAACTTGGCCTGACTCTTGTTTTTTTGTTTTTGTTTTTGTTTTTTTTTTTTCAGCACAGCGTAACAGATTTTACATCCTATGCTATCAAAACAAACAAAAAGACAGGTTATGGATTCTGCCAAGCAAAATGTTCTCACCCACAAAGACCAGGTTGCTGTAATTCTCCAACATCACATCAATGTACAAAGCCCTCTGAGCAGAGTCCAGGCATTCCCACTCCTCCCATGTGAAGTTCACAGCCACATCCCTGAATGTCAACAGAAGCTGAAATAAAAAAATATGGTTTGACCAAGTGCTACCTGTAAGTGCTTTCCTAGGTATAAGGAGATGGAATGTATATGAGGTAAGACAAATAAAGGCACATTCTATCATGAATGCATTTTACATTTTCTGTGAAAACAGGATGAAACAATAGTCTTAAAAGCAATATACATAAAACAAGAAATACATTTAAGGTCTGGACAAATTATCTATCTGTTATGGATGCTGTGTTTATGACCCATAGGATCACAGTATACACGTCTCAGAAGGAAAATTCATGATAAGGAAATGTGCTTTAAATGCTGTAGCTGTCTGTGGATCATGCTAAAACACTGACACATATCAATCCCATGTGTACTTGGGCCTTAAATGACTATATTGTAATAGGCTTAGTTTTGATGCTTAAACTCTAGATACAATGACGCCATTGCACAGCAAAGGGGTAGGTAGGTATGGAAAACAGAATTTATGACTGATTTTATAGACAAGCATTTTGGGTTTTTTCCACACATGCAAGGATTATAACAGTACTACATGCTATAGATTTTTAACACTGCCATATAAATAAGTAGCCTATGGAATTAATTTTATGAGAATATTTGGGCCACTACAAACAGAAAAATTGGCATCAGCCATATTGATATAATTCAAAATTTTCCCAAGAATATGCATAAGCCATACAGAGACAAATACCAATTTCAGAAGTTTCGAAGAATATTTCACTTCATTCCCAAAGAGTATAAATATTGAGGGAACTCCAAATAACACATCAAAAACTCTGAATAACGGTCATAGCAAGGATTTACTGAAGCATGAATAATAGCAACCCAGAGACTGATATTGGGGTTCAAGCTGAAGATCAGAGAAGCAAAGTAGCCAGCCACTAGCACTTAACTCTACTTTAGACAGAAATGGTGTTCCTGTCTCTATGAATCCTCAGAGTGCAATGCAGACTGCCTCCAAGCCTCAGAATCCTAAACTGCCCTTTGAGACTGCACTGAGCTTTTTATATACTCTCTAGTGCTGGGATTAAAAGCATAGGATCCCAAGTGCTGAGATCTCCTTTTAGACAGACTCATTCTTGTGTAGCCCTGGATGGCCTTGAACTCACAGAGATCCATCTGCCTTTGTCTCCTGAATCCTGGGATTAAGAATGTTTGCCACCACTGCCCCGTTTCTATAGCTAACTAGTATGGCTAGCTTTGCATTCTGATTTATTAGAACATAGATAATAATTTAGCAAAATTTAATTAAATACCGAGAAAATAAAAGTGCAAATGGGATAAATAGACATTTTCAAAGGCAGAAACTCAAATGGCCAATAAACATTGAAAAAGCTCTCAGGATCCCAAAAAGGCCACCATGGTAACACAAAAGTAAAACTACTTGGTATAGTGATATATTATTTATGATTCATTAAAGTTTGACTGAGGATTCAGAAAACCAAAGTCAGCCTCAAGCTATAGAGATCAGGCAGTGTTGGTATACACCGTTAATCCTAGGACTCAGGATTAAGTGGTAGACAGAAGTCTGTGAGTGCAAGGCCACCCAGATTTACACAAGATTGAATCAGTCTAAAAGAGCATTAAAGCTCATACCTTTAATCTCAGCATTAGAGGGGTATAAAAGACAGGAGAAAGTAGTCAGTAGGAGGTATTCATTCTCCAGTCATGCTGGGGAGAGGTTTCAGTTTGAGGCTTGGTGAGAGACAGGATCAGCTCAGTCAGCCTGAGGTGGCCCAGTGCTTTTCTTTTCTGATCTCCAGCTTGAAGTCTGAACCCAAGTATCAGTCTTTTATTAATTTATATTACAAGTTGGAAATACTACCTCATCACAGACAGAATGACTGTGATAAATTAACCTGGCAATAAGTGTTCGATGGCATGTGGAGAGAAAGGAAGCCTTACTCACTGTTGATGGAGGGGAGGGTGCAAATTAATAAAGCCATTATGGGAATCAGTTTGGAGATTATTGAAAAAAAAAATACAAGAGAGAACTAACATATGATTCAGCTTTTACTCCTGGCCAAAACAAAACACCCCACTACACAGATATTTATACCTCATATTTACTGCTGTTCTATCAGCAAAGGAAAAGCACTGGAGTCAAACTAATTATCAACAGATGAATGTGTACTGAAAACTGTATAAAATGGAGTAAGTTCAGCTAAAGAGAATAATAGAAAATAAAAATTTGCAGGAAAATGGATGGACCTAAAATGGGTAATTTAGAAAACACTATATTTTCACTCATATGCAGAATTTACGTGTGTGTGTGTGTGTGTGTGTGTGTGTGTGTGTGTGTGTGTGTGTGTAATAATAGTATATGTGGGCATAGTATAACACGGAGAGGAGAACAGGAAAGGTTAAATTATAAGGGACTGAATGCAGGTAATGAACACCAGTTATGGGAAAGGACATAAAGCTAAGTGCTTTTCTAGTTCTAATTCTGGCAGCTTTTGGGTTTGGGTGGTGAATAAGTCAATCAAAATATGTTCAATTGTGAAATAGAAAAACCCATATGAGGCTCCAGAGCTCCTGTTAGCTATGAGGACTCTTAACTGTATAAAAGTACATTGAGTTGTATAGTCTTTGGGTCTGTTTAATTGCAGTAAGGGATTTTATTGTTTGTCTGCTTGCAGAATTCTTCATAAAATTTTAAAAAAATTATCAGAAGCAGAAAATTAAAGATTTTTAATCTATCAAAGTATAACATATTTAGATATCAAGTGTAAAGAACCACTGACCTGCGACATGTTTACTGGAGTATCAGCCATTTCTTACTGTTTGACTTCTTTGAGTTTCTTTTTTCAGGAACAATTAATAGATGCCTTGCTTCCCTTCAAATAAAGGGGTCAAAAAAAAAAAAAAAAAAAAAAAAAAGAGAGGATTAAACTTAATAGTGAAAGTTGATAGAGAAGAATGCCAAACCATACAAAAGACCCAAGCAACAGAATTCTACCAGGTGTAAAGTCAACGATACCAAACACAGGAAAGCATGGAAAGCATTTGAAGCTTGAAGACAAAAATCATCATCAAGCATTTTGTTACACAAGAAAACTGCTCTCTTAAAATTGGTGGAGATATAAGTGCATTTCAAGATAGTCACCAATGAACACAATTGATTTCTCTAAAGCGGCACTGGAGACAATAAATTAGAGGCAAAACACACACAGGAGAGTCAGAGAAATCATCCAGGAGGACATGGGAAGTAATAAATTTCATGGGAAGAATAGATGAATACAGGAGAACTGGGAAGTATTCATCTATGAGCAAGAGAAAAAGCCACTTATTTCTCAAAAAGAAGAAGAATGTTAGACAATAATCCAACCATCAACAACATTAAAATGAAACCATAGGAAATAAAACTAGCCACACTGAACATCAAAACCAAGAATCCTCAATTAAATAAAATCTCATGTGAAATGAATTCAGCACATAACCCAGATGTTCCATTCCTTGGCATAGACACAAAGAACTTGACATTCTACCCCACAGATACTTGCTCACCCATGTTCATTTCTGGTGATTTTTTTGTTGTTGTTGTTGTTTTTGTTTTTGAGACAGGGTTTCTTCTGTATAGCTCTACCTGTCCTAGAACTAGCTCTATAGACCAGGATGGCCTTGAACTCATAAAGATCCACTAGCCTCTGCCTTCTAACTGCTGGGATTAAAGGAGTGTGACTAGTCATGATATTTTGTTTATGATGCAACAAATAAAGCTTGCTTGAGGATCACAGCATAGGCCTAGCCACACTAGCTAGGCATAGAGGCCAGGCAATGGTGGCACACATCTTTAATCCCAGCCTTTTGGGAGACAGAGGTAGATGATTTCTGTTATTTCAAGGCCATCCTTGGCTACATGAAATTGATCCAATTTGAAAGAGAAACAGAGCTCACAAAAAAATGATCCTAGCAACATAACAAACCTCAACAGATACAAAAAAATTGAAATAGTCCCCTGTATCTTATCAGACCACCATGCTTTAAAGTTGGAATTCAACAACACAAATCGCAGAAACCCTACAAACTCATGGAAACTGAACAATGTGCAATTGCACCATACCTGGGTCAAAGAAGAAATAAGAAAGAAATTAAGGACTCCCTAAAATTCAAGGAGAATGAGGACACAACATACCTGAACTTATGGGACATCTTGAAAGCAATGCTACGAGGGAAGTTCATTGTACTCAGTGCCCATATGAAGAAAACGGAGGATAGTCACATTAGAGAATTAACAGCACAACTGAAAGCCTTAGAACAAAAAGCAGCAAACTCACCCCAGAGGAGTAGATGCCAGGAAATAATCAATTTAAGGGCTGAGATCAATAAAGTAGAAACCAGGAAAACAATACAAAAAAATAAAAAAATAAAAAAAAAATCAATGCAACAAAGAGTTGGTTTTTGAGAAAATCAAAAAGATAGACAAATCTTCATCCAACTAACAAAAAAGCAGAAAGAGAACATGCAAATTAACAAAATCAGAAATGAAAAGGGGGACATAACAATGGACACTGAGGAAATCGAGACAATTTTCAGGTCATACTATGAAAACCTGTACTCCACAAAATTTGAAAATTCGAAGCAATTGAACAAATTTCTGGATAACTATCACTTACCAAAATTAAATCAAGAACAGACAAACAACTTAAACAGACCTATAACCCCTAACAAAATAGAAGCAGTCATCAAAAACCTTCCAACTAAAAAAAGCCCAGGTCCAGATGGCTTCAGTGCAGAATTCTACCAGAAATTCAAGGAAGAGCTAATACCAATACTCCTCAAATTGTTCCACACAATAGAAACAGAAGGTTCATTACCAAACTCTTTTTATGAGGCCACAATCACCTTTGTACCCAAGCCACACAAAGACACAACTAAGAAAGAAAACTACAGACCAATATCCCTCATGAACATTGATGCAAAAATACTCAAATATTGGCAAACCAAATCCAGGAATACATCAGAGAAATCATCCACCATGACCAAGTAGGATTCATCCCT